AGGAATTTGGCATCCACTTGTGTCATGTATCATATTGAGAGGATCAGGTGAAACAGCTTAAACCAAGAACAACCATGGATGGATTACTGAACAGGCCTACCAGGCACAGACACACAATTACCACTAAGACATACCATTATCTTAAAGAGACCCAAACAACAACACTGAGATACAAAAAAACACAAGGAGACACACACTAAACAGAAACAAAATCACCTCACAGTAACACAAAACAAGCACAAAGAGACGTTAAATGACCAAAAAGAGACAAAAAATGTCTGAAAGAGACACAAAATTACCTCAAAGAGAGACAAAACTACCCAACTGAGACCCAAGCAACAACAAAAAGACACAACACAACCTCAGAGAGACACAAAACAAGCAGAGGGAGACACAAAACTACTAAAACAGACACAAGATCACCTTAGTAAGACATAAAATTACCTAAAAGAGACCCAAATTACAACAAGTGAAAAGGACTAAATGTGATGGCTGAATAAATCAAATCGCCACAGGCAGCCTTTTCAACGACAAGACAACACAAAACAACTACAAGCAGACACAAAATGACCACAATGAGACACAAAACTATGAAAACAGACACAAAGACATAACATTACGTTAAAGAGACCCAAACAACACAGAGATGCAAAAAAAAAACCCACAAGGAGACACAAAAAAAGAGTAAACAGAAACAAAATTACCTCAAAGTAACACAAAACAAGCACAAAGAGACATTAAATGACCAAAAAGAGACAAAAAATGACTAAAAGAAACACAAAACTACCTCAGAAAGATACAAGATTACCTTTAGGAGAACCAAACAACAACAAAAAGACACAAAACATCCAGCAAGCAAAAGGAGACATAAGAAGAACAAAAAGAGACACAAAATGACTAACAGACTCAAAATTACCTCAAAGTGACACAAAACAACCACATAGAGACACAAAATGACTACAAAGAGACACAAAACTACCAAAACAGACACAAGATCACCTCAGTAAGACATTAAATTACTTAAAGAGACACAACAAGACAGCGCAAAACAACTACAAACACAAAATGACCCCAAAGAGATACAAAACAAACACAAGGAGACACAAAATGACCAAAAAGCGGCACAACATAACTAACACAGACACAAAAGTACCTTTAGGATACACAAAGAACAACAAAAAGACACAAAACCACCACAGAGTCTGTGATTTTGCTCCTGTGTAGGGGAGGTGATGTGGCCCTTTGCATATCTGTGTCCAGGAGCCCATGTCTGCAACAACACATTACTGTTCAGATGAGCTAAAAAGGGCTTTAATAACAGCCACATGGTGGCGCTCTCTGCACCAAAATAGATCAGTTCTTATTTCATACAACGCCAAGGTTTTAAAAAGTTACTGAAATCTGTATCTAATAGAAAAATAAAGACAAAAAATTAAACTACAAATCAGCAACAGTAATTATTTTTGGCATATGTCTTCACCAAGAACCCCAGCAATGGCAGGTAGGTGGAGTTTACTACATCAGGGTTATACACTTCGCTGATTCTCCTGCGGCTGTTGACATTTTTCTTTCCAAGATGGCAGAGTTACCCATGTCCAATAATCTAATAATTGACGCAGGGCAGAGAAAACTGCTGCTGTCTGTCATCCACGCCTCTCAGTTCTCTGCCACACATCAGATATCCTCCAGCTCCTCGAGCACAACCAGAAACATTAATCATCATTTGGTGCCGGGGAGGTAAACCACAAACCAATCAACACCTCAGCATCTCAGCTTTATTTTTCCATGAGCAAGCACAGAGCTGAAGAGCAAAACAAGTTCCCCTCCACAGAGGAAACGATGGTAAATGTGATGGAGTCAAGACTGGATTCAGTAAACTTTAACAGGATGCAAATTCATGAGAAATGAATCACAATGCAAATTCCTGTGTCGAACTGCAGCACAATGCAAATTCAAGTATGAAACAAATGACATGCAAATTGCAACAAGCGCACAATGTCACAGGAAGAAGGCCTCACCCCTCTCTCCACACTGCTCTCAGTGTTTTCAACTCCTTTCTTATGTAAACTAACAAGGGAACAATTTGCATGTATGTCCTCGGAAAACTACATTCTTAGATCAACTCTGCGAGTCTAATGCCAAAAATGCCCCGACTTCCTGTGACGGAAGAACTGCAAAAGCAAGGAATTTCCGACACAAGAAAATCAGAGAAAGGATGCAGGAGGATGTTGCAGAGGGTGACGACTGGGTGATCCTGGAGCTGGCCAGGCAATGAGGTCACATCAGGTCTGGTAGAGTTGTGGTTGACGGAGGGGAAATAGCTGCACAGCTTTGGGCCGGCTGCCATTTAAGACAATGGGGTTACTCAGAGATGGAGCTTCCTTGAATTGTGCAGTGTTTCCACACAGTGAATGAAAATACAAACCGCTCAGAGGTGGTTTTTCCATCATGGCCAGCCTGCTGCTGAGTTCCCATCAGATTGTAATACGTCAGAGAGAGTTCACTCTCAGCTGTGCTGATAATTAAAGGCAAAGTGATTTTTGTATAAGAAATCCTTTGGGAGGGAGGTGTCCGCTTGATGCTTACTGTGCGGTTGTGTACAGGAGTCATTAACAAGTTTCATTTTAAATTAGCTAGCAGGTTCTGTATGCTACATTCACAGCATTAATACAGCAGCAAACCGCTACTGTCTGTGTAAAGATATGGTGGAGTAATGGCGTCCTGAACAGAGGATGATGCACTACTTCTGTGTGTTGTAATGTGAGCTTCTCTGTGGTTTGTTGTAGTAAGACGGTCTGGCCGCATGTTTATGTTTGTGCTTGTGTGTGCAGTAAATTAAATGCTACAGAAAAGATTGTGCAAGGATAATATTTGTGGCTGTTCTCATTAGGGATACGCACACATTTTCCGCCCAACACAACAAGGCTGTAACACCAGAAATAAAGTGATCAAATAAAGTGATGTTAGATGCATTGTGTCTTTTTAAAATACGCTTCTGTGTTCAAAGGAAATGTACAGTTTCTGCTCGTTCGAGGCATTCAGTCTGTTTTAAAATAAACTTAAAACGCTGGTGAAACATCTTGTTTTCATGTTTATGTCCTTGTGCAACAAAGAACATGGTTAGGTTTAGGTTTGGCTCAACATTCATACAGGAAGTGAACAGTGGGCCCATCCATGCCCCTCCCACCCACCCTATACGGACTTTCCAGCTCCCTAAATTACATCATTATCGGCAGCATTTCAAACTGATGCCAGCTGTGGCTGTTATACACTGATGCTGCCCAGTGGTGCATCGTACTGCTGCAGAAGGATGGCTTTTCTTATTGGTGCCTGACGCAGAAATCACTGACCAAGCAGCAGTATTTTTGATGACTTTGGAAGGAGCATTTTTATTCAATGGGAGAAAGTGGAGAGACGTCATCCATCTTGATAAACAGTCTATGGTCCAGACCAAGTGTCAACCTCCGGGGCTAAAAAAACAGAAGCCAATGCAGAAGTGCCAAAAACTGCAGTTCCTCTAATGTCCACTTGAGGCTGGCTCCAAGAGAGTCAGTCCCCACAGACCCCCATGTTAACATGTCTAACTTTACAGCAGAAATAAACATGTTTACAGCCTGGTACAAAAACAATTTTGGTCTCTGTAGCTAATTTCAACCTTTATAACAACTGTACAGGGGCTGACTCACCCATTTCCATTTTATCAAGGCCCAAAGTTAAGAATATCTGAGGGCGGGACACTCTGACAGAGAGTGTGACAGTGACAGGCCGTCTGTGAGGTGTTGCTACAGTCTGTTGGTCAGATCCACTGCTCGCTCTTCCACAGCTCCACCCTCTCATCTAAATACAATCACTTCTGGCTCTATAAAAACAAGATGGTCTCTACTGAAACGCCAAACTCAACACTTCAAAATGGCACTCTGAAATTCCCACAGAGTCCCTTTAATATGTGTGAAAACTAGTGGAAACTTACTGAAGTATATAAACTAAAATCCACTTGACTTTTGACTTTGACATTGATGCATCTCATAATTCAATGCATGAAGAAACTGGAGGTGCTATTTACATTTGTGAGCAACAACAAACTGGACAGCAATGAACAGCAAAGAAAACAAAAACACTTCCTCTTTTTAATTAAGTTGGATTACCAGTGGTGTTTTAAAGCTTCGGGTTAATTGGCATCCGCTGGCCATAATTTCCTGTTCCTGTACAAAATGGAAACTACGTTGAACATACTGTACCTTCCAGTACCTACACTACCATGCTATTAAGTATGCCAGCAAAAAGATTTAGTGTGTCCTGATATATAGTATGTCAAATACAGTGTGCCAAAAATACTAGGATGTTCTACTACATCTGGTCATGTAGCAATGACACAGAAATGTACATGTAATTGTACTGTTGTGGATATGTTAGAATCTACAATATATGCAGTTACAGAAGTTGAGTCAAGTCAAAGTTGAGGACGTATTGTTATGAGAAAGTAGTATTTCCTGACTGTGTTCATACTACATGCAACAGTACGTACTCTGTAAGGGCAGCTGCAGTACATACAAAAAATAAAAAGTAAAAGTATATGATTTGGAACACACCTATAGTCTATGTACCATGGCAGTTAGTTTACAGTACATGCTTATGTACAATGGATCTGTGATATAGTTCTCAGTTAGCAGTATCAGGGTCCTGCACATGCACACAGGTGTTTTCAGTTAAACTGATTGGCTCTCTGCTCAGCCACGATGGGATTACATGAGGTCACCACGCCGAATGCACCAAGAGAGCCTTTTCACAGGAGACATGACGGAGCAGGAGCAGCACAGGTGTCATTAATAACATTAATGATGACTGTATTTAATTTAACTAAACCTGTTCCAGTGTCCTGGTATGTTGTGTCCTGGCTCACTGTGATGTTCCACTGGGACCGTTAACGTTATTAGTTTCATCTGTGCTTTTCCTTAAGTCGAAGTTTCTGTTGTGAATAATGTCAGTAAAACAAAGGTCACCTTTTTCCATGAGTTTCTGCTGGACTGGATGTTGTGGAGCGTTGGATCAGCCGGGACCTGGCAGCGTACATCGAGGTCGTACATCGAGGTCACCTGCTGCAGTGATGAACAAAGTAGACAATTACATTACTGTGATCAAAGTATAGATTCTCCTGCAGTGGCTCAAATCTCATACTTACGTATTAATCACTTAATATTTTGAGTGCGCTAAGTGTGTTCATACTGCATAGTACAGGGAAATGCAGTGTACTACTGGGGCACTCAAAACTGTCCCAAGGTTGAGTGTGGAACAACAGACATTTCTCACCCTCAATGGTTGCCATCTTTGTTGTGACATAGCAAACTTCTCAACTTTTGACATTGCAACTTGAGACAACAAGGAGCCAGTTAGTTATACATGCTTTTTGCACTAAGTACCAAAGGTGTTGTCGAATAGAAGCCATCAGTAAAGTTTTTTGGGTCTGTGATGATTTGGTACTGTATAATGCAAGTGCTTAGCTTGCTAGCTAAAGTTAGCATATGCTAGCTAACTTGCTCCTAGCTAGGGGGGCACATTTTAATCAGCATTCACATGGCGTAGGTTTATATGTGGGTGGAAACCGGTCAAATGTGGCGATAATACTCCACTGTCCATTTAAAAAAACACATCACTTCCGGTAAGTGCATGCAAAATGCGCAAAAGTGCGCAATTTGAGACAGTAGGCTCGTTCGAGATGAACTGCGCCTCGCCTGGAAAGTAGACGAGAGCAGGCGGCCGCAGCGGGGGGCGGTGACAGAAAGCTGCGGTGAAGTCGGACAGTTTCCCGACAGTTTCCAGCAGCCATCAGTCCGTACAGGAAGTCACAGACACACTTACATCCTGTCTGGAATGATGTCATTTCATTAAAAAAGTGATCAGACCCATATATCAGTTTGTTTTCACCATCAGTCACACAACATGTTTTCTGTTCACAGAATAAACCTTCAGATCAGACAAATACAATCTTAATCTCTAAAAATCAACAAAAATGAGTAGTTTATCTAAAACGTCATCTTGTTGAGTCAACATCTAAACCAATCAGCTGTTAGATCAGGTGAGAGCCAGGCGGTGCAGTCGGTGGAAAGCAACTGCAACGCCTGGCTCTAAAAACTGCGGCCACCTCGCTCTCGCGGCTTTATCGCCGTCCACTTTTGTAATACGTCAGAGAAAGTCGGGATGAAGTCGGACACAAAACTAACCGGCATGCATTGTGCGCCGATCGCCGGTAATCGAATCTGCGCAGGCCTGGCTCATCTCGAACAAACCTAACACTAGCCATGTTTCCATCAGCCTGTTTAGATGCGCATCTAGAAGTATTGCATCGGAAAATTATGATGGAAACACCAAAATTCGAATTAAAATCCCCTGATTCGCACAAACTAAAATACGCTCGCTTTAGCCGGGTTTTGGTTGATTTGAAAAAATGTTTATTTGCAAAAGGGAGGATGGAAACAGTTATGTTCAAATTAAGTCTGACGTAGCGCACCTCTCTCCATGGTGATATCCACACTCCGGGTCAGGAAGGCGGTAATGCGTTTACAAGCTGGTTGCCAACCGCCAGAAAACGTAGAAGAAGAAGAACGCGAGACTTGTTTTGTTTCCGGTTCTGCGGAAAACTCGCGCGAGTTCGTAGTTTTCACCAAAGTCTGTACATTTAATGGAAACACACAGGATTCATATTTCTTTTAATGCGCATTTCCCAATGATTCAAATCACTTTTGGGTGGAAACATAGCTACTGTTGTAATAGTGTACTATGCTAGTGTTAGAGTCAAAGTCATAAGTTTCCCCCTAAAAAGTTACTAGTAATTTTCAGACACTGGAAAAAATACTAAAGGTTCAGTGTGTAGGATTTAGGTGGATTGCAGATTTCAACAAGCTGAAACTTCTCCTGGGTAGAATTCCGTCAGTGTTCATTGTTAGGTTTTGGACGGGAGTCAGATTACCCACAGAGGTCTCTTCCTCTCCAGAACAAACAGACCAGCTGATTAAATCAGTAAAATCACTGAATAAAGTGGTATCATGTTAGAAATCAGCGTTTCTTCTATGCTGTTTGGTATATCGGATGAGGGCGGCTTACCCACCACATGCTAATTTGTGCTCAGCTTTTTTCTCCAATAACTTAATGTGTACTCACCTGTTGTCTGATCCAGATGTTCAGGAGGTTTTAACCAGGAGATGAATTTTCCACAGGTCTCTTCCTCTGATTTAAATCAGTAAAAACACTGAATGAAGTAGTTTCATGTTAAGGAAATCCGTGTTTCTCCAACACTGCTTGTCACAGATGGGCTTCCAACTACGATGCAAAAATGTGAATGTCCTTATCTCGAGCTAGAGTTTGGTTTGTCTGTTCTGTGCTACTGTAGAAACATGGCGGTGCAACATGGCGATCTCTGTAGACGAGGACCTGCTCCCTATGTAGATATAAACAGCTCATTCATTCTAAGGTAACAAAAGCACTAAAGAAAACATACTTATTATATCATATTCCATTTCTGTCAATACATCGCCTTCAACCCAACACACTGGACCTTTAAGTACAGTACTCAAGTAAATGTATTTTGTTACTGTCCACACTGACTGCTGCAGCAAGTCCAAACAAACCAGGACAAAGAGATGAAGTCAATCACGCTGTCTGTACACACACCGTCAGGAGAAGAGGTCTAATCAAGCAGAAGTGAAAACACCTGTGTGGATGGACCACAGCTGTGTCTGAGCTTTAGTGATTAAACTGGACTGTGTTATACTGTGGATCAGGGGTTCAGTTAAGGCTCAGAGGGCTGAGTCAGTCACATTATTGGAAGAAAAAACATTTAAAGTGCAGTTTATTGCATGAAAATGAAGGAACATGGCACAAAAAGAACAAAAACAGAGTGACATAAAACTGTTTATGAGAAGCAGCCTCCAGCGTTTTTCCTGAATTCATACAGTTGTTGGAGACCATGCCTACACAGTTATTCCTATACAACAACTTTACAGTGTTTATATTCACCAGGAGCCCACAGTGGATGATCTGAGGAGACTTCACTGCCAATTTCTAACTACAGAGGAAAACATATTTGATTTGTTCCGCACTTTTAATTTTATTTGATACGTTTCATTTTGCTTGTAATTATTACTTATTTAAATCTATAATTATTACCCAAGACTAGATAGCACTTTGTGGAAACTAAAGGAGATTCGAACACCTGCTGCACAATCACATGCAATCTGATACAGAGGCTGAATATTTGTGTCAATGCTGCAGCATTCCCAGGATACAGCTGGCAGCATTATTGGATTTAACTACACTACACAGTCTTCCAGTTCATTTGACAAGAGTCTTGCTGTAATCCATATCTCTGTGCACTTTGTTAATTCACATTAATACACACGGGGGGGGGGGGCAGTGTTAGAAATACCTGTCACACACTTGTCTATATGCCACCATATAAACATAGGGCTGTTTTTTGGAAAGTAATACTTGGTACAACTGATAACTGGTGGTGTATACTGGAAGGGTTTCACATTATTTTGTTCCCATACAATACTATGAAACTAATACTACACAACTCACTGGATTATTATTATTATTGCAGTAAAACAATGACAGTAGGTGGCAGCTTGGAGCCAAGGATACTGTTCTCACAGTTGGGGCCATTTTACTTCCAAATCTTTTACTGAAATCTTCGTAACAGTGGAAATTCTTTACAAAAGAAAACAACCAAAATGCAAAATCTGCTGCAAAAGTTTGTCACTAATATTATTTCTGGAATACAGTGCACTGGAAGCAAAGCAACCCCAAACCTGGCTAATATTGCTCGTCATATTGCTGCATAGAGGAGAGTATCAGTAGTCTTTTATATGAAGGAAGCAGTAAAGGGCTGAACACATGCTGCATTTTTTGTGCCCTCAAATTCATTGTTTTCAATGTAGACGTGCAGCAGTGTAAACGCCAGAGCTACACCGCTGCAGCACACACACTTTCCCTATCCCTATGTGACGAGGACCAACCAATCACAGCCAACAGATATCTTTCCCTTCTGTAAATATCAGTCTGTGATAAATATGGAGGAGAAGTTGATCATGTTAGTGCAGAGCTGTCAGAGCTTTACATCTGTCCCACGGACGACAGCGCCTGGAAGATCAGCTCTGCACTCAGGGTTTCAGGTAAATAGGCTCTGATACGGTGCTTGTTGAGATTGCTTAGCAACCTCAGACGCAGCCTGCTGCCATGCTCTTGAAGGCTGGCACAGAAAAGGCACAAGAGTAGCACCCAGCGCCCGACCTCACGTTTTCCAGGCAGTAGAAGACGCAGCATGTGTACGGCGCCTGAAAGGTACCACATTAAATCAACAGTAGGCTCAATAGGAATAGAACAGCAATAATACTGTTTAAGACACAGGTTTATCATTAAAACACTGGACTGCCACCTCTGATACAAAATGAATCTCATCAGTAAGAAAATAGTGCAAGAAAAGCAACAAAAAAATCTACATGTAGAAAAAAGACAACAGATTTTAAGGCGGATAAAGTTTTGGAGTCTAGTTGGATTTATCAAAGAAAGGAGCACCCAAACGCAGACGGACTCACTGTTATTGTACGTCTCTATATCAGAGTTATCAGGCACTCTAACTTGTGTCAACACAACCACAGTCCATCTGTTCCCATGCTCAGCTGCACCAGTGTTTGTTTTCCATGCTCTGCCTCTAGTCTTAGCCGAACCCATCCTGGTTTCACAAGTGGTTGTGGAGAAGATGGAGGGAGTTGTTTTGGCCCCTCTAAGCCATGGTTTTCTTCTTGCACTCCGCGGAGCAGAAGAGGAAGGCCTGCACTGCCATGAAGCGCTGGCCGATCAGGCACTTGGAGCAGCCGGAGCACTTGAAGCACTCCGGCTGGGCGTGCCAGTGGTGATCGCCGTAGGAAACCCTCTGGGCCTCAGGCTCCACCGCAATCTGGCAGGAAGAGCATTTCTGGGATGGCAGAGGATATAATGATGTCAAGGAAAATAGTCGGCTTTCTGCTTTGATGTTTCATATTTTACACCGTTCAGTTTCATTATTATTCAAACTTTCCATTTCAGTTTATGTCATTTTGTCTTTTCTCAGTGCGCTGCTGGAAATCAGACTCCGCTGCAGCTGCACTGTGAGTATGAACATGAGACAATCATGCACACATAACATACACATACACAGGAAAACAACAGAGTGCTCAGAGACACAATTAATGGTCAGAATTGTTCATAGACAAGAGTGTTTAAGAGACAGTTCACCCCAAAATCAAAAACACGTATTTTCCCTGTTACCTGTAGTTCTATTTATCAGTGTGGATTGTTTTGGTGTGAGTGTCTGAGTGTTGGAGATAGATGTTTCTTGACTCTGGGCTGCCAGCGTTTACTAACAATCATTCTCTGATAGCAGTTTGACACTGAGCTCTGTTGTTCGGTGTGTGCAGGACCCTTTGACACTGATACCCTTTTTTTTTTAAAGAATGTTTTATATATCATAAAATATTCAATTAAAGCCAGTTCTTTTGACAAACCTTCACTGAACAACGATATAAAAAATCTGTAAATTACTGCAGCCTTATTATACTTTGCTATTAGACTGGTCAGAGTCAAAAATGTTTAATATTCTATTTCAATAAAAATCTACACACATTTCTTGTAGGTGAGAACAGGACTTTTCAGGGTTTGACTCTCATTAGGACCACCCAAGCTGAAAATGTATGCACGAGACAGTGGCTCTCAATCTCTTTCATGTCCCCCAAAAGTGACACACATCGGGAACCCCAGTTTGATGAGTTTTTGCTTCAGGGACCTTCATCTGAAAAGATTTTAGATTTGATTGAAGACCAGAATTCTACAGTTGTCAACTGGAGCTGAGGAGATAAACATGGAGAGCTGACACCTATGATCAGAACTGTCACTCATACTCACATTGGGCTCACATCTATAGTGAATAAAATAGTGAACATATACTATTCTCAATTTTTCTGTGGGCAGCTGGTCTGGGGGTCCCCACACTCCAGGATGAGAACCACTGCACTAAAAGACCTGGGGCCGTATTCACAAAGCTTCCTCGTACACATGCTCCTTGTGACGAGAGATAAAAGTTATTCCCAAAATATCTTAGACCTTAAAAGAGCTCGTAAGGTAAAAACCTGTGAGGAGCAGGGAGGAGGACTTTAAGAGGTTTAAGAGTTTCCTAAGAAAATGGTGGAAACACAAAGAGGTCAGAGAAAATATTCTCCAACTGCTGGATGAGAGAAATGAAATGCTACAGAAAAGATCGTTCAGAGAGAATATTTGTGATTAATCTCATTAGGGATACGCACACACTTCCCACCCAACACTATATCTTCAGACATTAATGTGATCACAACACTAAGATATCAGCAGTCATCACAGTAACAATGACAACACTTTCAGTCTCATCTTGTGATGCAGTTCATTTCATTTCCACTGGGTGTCCACACCCTGCAGGGTCACTAAAGGGTGTGTCTGTGACAACCTATCACATCTGTTAAAATAATGCATCACACCTAGCAACGGGGTCGACCACACCTCCTCACGAAGGTCAAAGTTTCCATCCTGTCCTTGCTCAGAGTTTCTCTGAGAACTTTCCTAAATCACTCCTAAGCTAGGACTCCTTATGAAGTAACTTTAGTCTAAATTAGCAGCTCTCTGAGTGTCTTCCAATGAACAAATACTAAAATTTCAACTATTTAAACAAACCCAGAGAGAGAAATGTGTCTCACCACAGCGTAGCTCTTCATGTAGCACGGCTGGCAGACAGGCTTGTCCTTCTCCATGACGTAAGTCTCTCCGGCGAGGATGCAGTCACATTCAAAACAGCAGAAGTGCTTCAGATGCCAGTTCTGGCCCTCAGCCTGAGTGTACTCATTACTGAAGATCAGCTGTGGACAGACACAGAGTGGAGATCAGATCATGCTGCTGACCTCAAAACTACAGAGAAACTGATGCATCCAAAATCACAGTGATTCTGTCGATAAAAAAAAGGAGCCAATATCAGACATGACGACATCCTCTCTGACCTCATCACAGCCTCCACAGCGCGGCTTCTCGCTGTCTCCATAGTGGCGTCCACAGTACAGCTTGCCCTTCTTCCAGAAGTAGATCATGTCCACCAGCAGCTCATTGCAGGTGCAACACACAAAGCATGCTGGGTGCCACATCTTGTCGTAGCCGGCCCGCTCAGCGTAGACAGCAGGCTCGCCCAGACGCATCAGCTGCTGGCAGTGACGGCACGACTTGAGAGGAGAGAAGAAAACAAGAGATGGTTGGTGGTCGACTTGACATGTGACTTTTGTCAGAGCTCTTATATGTCAGTCACAAACATGGTGCTTCAGCAAATCCTCTGATTCCTATTAATCAGTGATGGAAATGAATCATTTCAGGTTTGTGTCTTGTTGGTTTATAA